GACTCTCTGTTGTGCTCCAATGATAAAGCAACAGGTGACTTAAACCTGGGCAGCTGCATTTCAGCAGACAGGAAATGTTGCACAGTCACAAAAACTGAGACAACTTGTATTTAACCCTCTGCCTTGTGAGCGAAGAGGCTGGGTGTACATTCCAAATAGGGTTGGTTTTCTAACTTGCCTAGAACTCAGGGCAATTTACACTTATTTCTGGTCCAAAATGATATCCTCTTGATAATTTTAGCATTTATCGGCTACTACAGTTCTACAGTTAAGACTGAATACTCATTTAACCTCACTGGGATATGTACTATATTTACAGTATATTCTAGGAAATTTTAATTAGTTCATATTTTCATATGAAATACAATTACATAAAAAAGTATTTTTTTAACATGAACCACCCACCAATTCAGTATGATTTTCCTTCCCTCAGTTTTGCTAGTTTGATTTTTATGGGAAAATTGTCACTATTTTTTCAAACTGAATGAAATAATAGAGCTTTGAAATAGTTCTCATCTCTTCAGAGACTTCATTAAAGACATTTTCTTTAAAGGGGTACCATCATCTTTTTAACCTTATCAGTTTTATCCAACAGTTTACCAGTGAGATCATTTGTGGGAATGTGGGCGTTTCAGACCTAAATGTGGGAAATTCAGGCTCAAACCTTCCTGGCATAGAGAGGTTTAAGGACATACTTGTCAAGCTCATTTCGAAATGATGACCTCACCACAAGCCTGTGTAAGGAAGCATTCTCTGGTCTTCCCATGAACTAGCTATAGTTCACAGAAAGCTATTCAAAGCCATTGACCTGCAGAAAGAATGGGACTTGCCTTTAAGCCTGCAGACTGGGGCATTGATTTGAGAGAGGTGAGCCACTGAATTCTGGCTCAGCGTCAAATACCACTTATGTAGGTTATCTAATAACTGCTTAATGTACAAGATGTAACAGCACTCAGAGGAGGCACCAGAATCCTGTGTTTCCCACTCACAGGTGAGTGCTCTAGCCGTTAACGCTCCAAGTCTCTCTTGGCTAACAAATGCTCCTCCTTCCTTTTCATCGAGAAGAGATCTCTACTTAGTAGTCAGGATACCTTCCAGAAAAGGGAGGAACCAAAGTTTGACTGCACTCTTGCCAAGCAGGGATACAAATCTCACTTTTCCACATACTGAAGAGGTCTTCTAAGTACTCATCAGCTGCCCCAGCAACAGTCTCTCAGCTTGCTCCATTTTTAAAGGACTGCCATTCTTCAAAGACCGATTTTTGAACAAGCTCAAGAGGGGAAAAGCTTCAGACACACCTCTGTAGGCAATAGTTCCTTACTGGCTGCTTGCACAGCATACTGGCTGCTTTGGATCTCCTTTCAAAGAAACTCAGCTCTCAATGTGCACCACAGAGGACCATAATACAGGTCCAACACTTTATCTCAGAAACGTCCACATTTTCTTGGGCACTGCTCAATGTTGTGGCACACGTCTTTTTTGGCTTTTAGTGTAATTAATTAGTGCAAGGTCACCAGGCAGTCTGTTTCACAGCGGGGCTTAAATCCATGTCCTCATTTAACACTCAGGCTAATGGATTGTCTCCTTGCTGGGCCTATTTCCCAATCTGCAAATACAAAGCTGGTCCCTGCAAAAGGCTTTGCAATACACAACTGACAAGCATGGTTTAAACAGCACATTGTATTGTCCTTCACCTAGCGAACTACCCTTGTCACACTTCAAAGACAAGCAAAGCAGGGTTTTATTATTTCCCATATAGACATATTATGAAAGTACACTCTAAATGCTTGCAATGAGATCACTGACAAAAGAAGTAAATATTAGAGATACAGTGGGAGTGAAGAGGGTGGACACTATGGAAAATAACTTGCATGATAAAGTAATCAGATGACAGGATGAATTTTCAACAGACTGAGTACTGAATCAAATGGAGGCATTTGAACAGATTTGCAGCGATCATCCTGACTCTCCTCTAAAGCTCAACTAATGACAGACAGCGATAGATAATAAGAAAGACCGTAAGGATCTTGTGAACCCTGAGCCTCTACTTGAGCAGTGATAAGCTGGAATGCTTTTACTAGATGTCTTCAGCATGCAGGGATGAAAACATGATTTTTCTGTCCAGCAGAGGGGGCTTGGCAGTAAATTTTCTAAACACAAAACCAAACTAGTTCTTTGGAAATTGAGTAATACTAAAATTAAACTGACTTTTAGAGGAACTTGCATAGTATTATAGATAAAACCAGAACTTCCTACAAACAAGAGATTCAAATATAACAAACTTCCTACAAACAAGAGATTCAAATATAAACAGACACAAATCAAATTGAGTGTTGTTCTGGCTCTTAGTTTCCCTTTCTTCTCAGTGTGGCTTTTCTATTTCAGCAGAAAGACCTTGCAGTTATACCTGACACGCACAGTGTGCAAGTGAAAAAGTTTTTGCTCCTAATTCCTTTGAAAAGCTGAGTCCAAGTTCCTACTAAACCTGTCCCTTTAAACTACTACAGTATATGTACAAGAAAATCACAGGGATGACATTAAGGTAAACTCCTAGGGGAAGGTCTTCCATGACACTATAAAGCTGTGTGTTTGAAGGCAAGACATATAATCTGAGTCCAGGAGTTTACAGCATGGATATCTAATTATTTGAGGCCACTTTGTAGTTTTAAACAGTAGACATAAATCTGGGTGGCCACAAGAGCCACTGGCAACCTCACAATATGGGTGAGACCAAAACCATGGATGTAATCCAAGGTGGTGGTGTACAGAAGCACATTTAAATCTAATGCTTAGTGCTAAGTTGCACACAATGTTACCTTAAGACAAATGAATGACACGAGTTGCTCTTGAAATGAAAATCTGTGGCTAGTCTTCTGGTGAAATTCCTCTTTTTCATGGTTAATTGAATTTGTCCCCCAAATATTGTTTCCTTGCTCAATTTCCACTCACATAGAAGAAAAGTGCAGGCAGGTGCATTTGAATACCTGGGAATTATATTCACTTGATTACTTCTGATGAATATAGTTTGACTCCATGTGTGAGCACTTGAATGGCACTGTTCAGTGCTGTTCAAAGTACAATTCTTTTATTTCTAGTGAGAACTAGCTGCCAATTTTAATTATAGGTTCTGGTAAATGCAATTATTTTCACCTCTGCAGCTCCAGCTTCTGGTGAAGGAAATACTGAAAATAACGATGCACTAGAGCATGCCAGATGTATCAGAAGGTGCAAATAACTCACCATGAGCAGTAAGGCTGCAACACTTTCTCTCGCTGACATGGGCAGGGGCTGTCCTGTTCCACGCACAGCAGCAGTCCCCATGCAGGGATGCTGATGGATGCAGCACTCTGCAGCAGCCCGGGCTCTGCCTCCCCACAGCCCGCACCGGCCATTCTGGTGAGCTCTTCTCAGAAGGCAGGATCTCAGCAGAAGCCCTGTGTTTGTGGAGTACAAGAGTCACCACCCACCTAACCCAGTAATTTGCCTTAAGTACTAATATTCTTCAAAAAGGAGTATATGGGGGAAGAGAAGGATGAGAATTCTGGTGACCTGGTGAAATAATATCATAATTTAGTGTGGATATCAGATTGTGTGTTGAACCTTCTATTTGGAAGTGAATATACTGTGTACTGACAGACTATACGTCACCATAGTTCTCATAGTAGAAAAAGATGGGCTCTGAGGGTTACAGCAGTCCATTGGGAGGAAGTGGGATGCAGCACTGTGTGCCCTCAGTCCCCAAACCAGGATCTCAGTTAGTGGCACTGGCTCTAGGTGGTGATCCCCAGCCTCTCCTGCCTATGAGTCCCCTCATCCACACCACATCTGCAATGCTTCCACCCATGGCTCTCAGTTCCCCCGTTCTCTGGACCCATGCTTTACCCCACTTCTCCAAATCCATTTCAGAAACTCTCCCTTCTCTATACAGCTGCCTTTCTTCTCACAAAATTAAAATATCCAGCCTTCCACACCAGAGCATCCTCTCCTTGATCCAAACACCCTGGGATACACATCCTCCCTAGACCTTCCCTTTCCACCTGCCTGGAATCACCCCAGAGCTGTTTCCTTATAACTCTCAGGTACTCCCAGTGCTGCCCCTACCTTATGGCCCACTCCCCAGTGTCAGGTCCCCCAGTGCCAGCCACTCCCTGGCTCACTTTGGCCTCAGCAATAATCTGAGCTCCTTCCTGGCACCAATTCCTTGGGTATTCCCTCCTCAGGTGCACTTTGTGAAAACCTTGACTCCTGCTTTTCAGAGGGGAGGATCTCAATACATACCAAATCCTCCACCATTCACAGCTGTAAGAGCAGCAGAAAGACTTGTCTGAGGGAAAGCAACTGGGCGTCAGCTTTCATAAAGCAATACCTCACATAGCACTGCTGTATGTGGTACTGGAGAGGACTGAGGAAGAGAAAAGAGAAAAAAGGTGGGCAGTTATGGGAATTTGCAAGAAAAAAAAAAAGAAGCTACTTTGATGTTAATAACCTGAGTCAAAATACAAGGAGGCTGAACTTCCCAGAAAGGAAGTTCACTAACAAGGAACCACAGATAACCTTCAGATGCTAAACTGAAAACTCTGGAGGAGAAGGTAGACTTAATTCTCAGAAAAAAAACCTGTAGGAAATATACTTAATATCAAAGAGAGAAAGAAAGCAAAAGGCAGAGAGCATCTTGAAACTAAAACAGGTATTAAACAGAAATTACAGGAAGAAATTAGAAAACATCAAGCTGGAAAGCAGAAAAAAGCAGAGAGTGGAGTACATTTTAAACCTGGGACACTGGGATTTGTTCACACAGATGAGGTCAGATGGGGACAAACTTCCAGCAGTATTATGGAAGAAGCCAAGAAGGAGTTATCTGGGACTAGCACAGAGGGAGTACAATAAATCTTTAAAAAAAAAAAGGAAAAGGACTGTGAACTGGTGGAGAGGAAACAGGCTACAAATGAAAGAGGAAAGAAAGAAGCAACAAAATAAATATTGTATAGGACACAGAGAGAAAAAAGAACAGAACAGCCCATTCCAGCTCAGGTCATGGGAACCTGCAAATCTCCCAAATCTGCTTTATTAATTGCCAACGCCAAGTTTACAGCCATGTGAGTACAGAACTTTTCACATGGAGAGGCAACTATCTGTGCAGGTTCAAAATGGACAAGGGAAAGCATTCTCATAATTGCAAAGGATGTCCCCAAACTAGGAGCCCAGAGAAGTAAGATGACATCTGACAGCTTCAAATATAAAATATTCTAGGGTAAGTGAAACTCTAGATGCTGCTGACGTAAAAGCTACTAGACATTGCTACTGCTGTTATTTTAACAAGGGCACAGCTTCTTCCAGCTCAGTTCATCTTTCCAAAGATGCTAATGCATTGAAGGAACAATAGGTACATTAGAAAATGTATTATAAGCAAACATGGAGTCGTCTCCCATGCAGCATATTTACACACATACTGTTTAAAATAAAATAAAAAAACCCAACAGTCATTCCTGAGTCTTCTTCCATGTGAAATGAAAGTAATAAAAATTCAATTTTTAGGCCATCATGAGATGCAGGTCAGAGCCCAGTTAAAGCATGCTAATATAAGTCCCAAGAACTTTCACATGAAGGTCTAACAAAGATCCAAGCAGACCGACCATTTCCCAGGCATTGGTCATTGATAATCAGACAGCTTAACAAGAAGTCCAAACAGTCTCGTTGTTCTACTGTAAGATCATTGCCTTAAGACAACAAAAAATCATGGAATCACAGAATTGTTGGAGTTGGAAGGGATGTTCTAGAGATCATTTAGTCCAACTCCCCTGCCAAAGCAGGATTGCCTATAGCACATTACTCAGGACTGCACCAGGGGGGGTCTTGAAAACCTCCAGAGAAGGGGACTCCACAACCTCCCTGGGCAGCCTGTTCCAGGGCTCTGTCACCCTCACCTTAAAGAAGTTCTTCCTCATATTTGAGTGGAACTTCCTATGTTCCAGCTTGTGCCCGTTAATAATGGGTCATATTGTCAATTCGGTTCCTCCAGGGATGAATGGAGTCCCTCTTAATATGGTGCAAAAAAAGAAGTAAAAATACCCAACTAGAAACGGGTGTCTGCGCTGAGTTCCCAGTGATTCAATGGCTGAGTCACAGTGGGTTCTTGGACATGCAGGGGAGTTTTAGCAGGAAACCGCCCACCGCTTTATTTACAGCTCCACTTCAACTATGCCATTCGACTCAGCTCAGTAGATGATTTTTATCACTCTAGATGTTGTGGATGCATTCGCACAGAGACACTTTCCAAAAGGCCACATATGTTTAGCATCAGTTTTTCATGACGATTCTATATATTCACTTCAGATGGAAGAAATACTGCCCCTTCTACCTCCAGTATGAAAGTACCTTTTCTCCATCCACTCTGAGGTGTTTGAGTCATACCTGACCTGCAGGCACGCTTTGCATTGCTGAACTGTATCTGTTTAGAAACTAGCCATTGTATACCTTATACAGGCAGCTACAGTAGCACAAAAGCACTCACCTTCAAAATTTGGACAATTCTGGTGCCTCATCATTAGCCGTAAGGAAGGCGGGAGCTCAAAGATCCAGAAAAGGTGGGGGGACACAGTTCTGCCAGCTTATCCTGCCTCAACTCAGTGATCTCCATGTTCAGCACTTGGAGACAGAATCTTGCGCTCCCACATACAGCACATTATCTTTTTGCCAATTAGCATAACTAAAACAACAATAAGTTTGTATCAAAAAATAGCTCTGGAATGCTAGCCAAGTTTCTTTTTATACTTTTCTTCTTTGTAAAATACAGAATTACCTATAGAAAATGATGTTTTAAAATGTAGTTGTTTGCAAATTCCAGACCTTAAAATTTATTCCTTGTCTTTTCCTACAAATTCTGTCCTAGTTTTGTGAAAGAGTTAAGATCACGCATTTCACCAGCACCCCTGCATCACTCGGTGCACAGATGTGTGAGTGGGCAGATTTCAGGTTGCATGAGCAAATGTAAATCTGATATTGCCCAGTTTTTCAGTTCTTGGCTTTGTAAACCACATAACATCAGTGCAGTGTGCACGCCAGCGTGCAAGACGGGAGGAGGGCTGTGGTAAGCGCTGTACTGAAGTGTAAACGTCAGTTTACAGCTAACTAGGAGAACAAAAGAGGAAATGGGGTAATGATTCTCTGGAACAGCGATGGGGTCTCTTGCACAGTCTCATGATTGCACCAAACTCCTGATTTCAGGGGGGAATGGCTGCTGAATCCCCAGTGATGAGGACTTGTCTCCATTTGGTGCGGTAAAGCCAGCACAGTACAATGCCAAGACACAGACCCTCCCAAATCTGCTGCTTCCTGCCATCGTATTTCCCCAGCCTTGAAAAGGGGACTGGGAGGAGATATGGGAAGAAACATAAAGACAAGAAAATACTTCGGTTGGACCCATTTCTCTCTGCATATACCAGTATACAGAAAGGTTTATGCAAATTAGAATCAGTCACAGGACTTCTGGGAAATTGCCAGCGATTCTCAGTGTATGAGTGAAATTAAGACAGGGAAGTCTCTTAAAGCTGTTTCTGAATAGCTAGTAAAAACATCCAGTTCCATCCAGCAGCAATTGCTTTGGCAATCTACCTTGGCAGCTCTGGACACTCAGGATCACCTTTTCTTTTTCATGTTGCACAAAACTGTGCTTGTGGCTCATTTTTTAAAACCAGATTCAGCTTTAGCCCTGCCTTTCAAGTACACATTTGAGAGATCATCATACGTGGAGCAGAGAAAGGATGCTGAATGAATTACAAGAGAATATCTATTTGCCAAAGGCTCGCAGGCTGTACCATTCTTGGTGTTTTACGCAGCAAGTCTGTCACATGAAGAGGATTCATATGAGACCTGAAACAACTCAATGAGTGCAACGACGTAAAAACCAATGGGTTTACCTCCCCAGTCTCAAGTCTAGTGTTTCCCTATCCCCCCACATCACACCCCTCCTACCCTTCTACCACCACCACAACCACATGCTGGCACAAAATGAACAGAAAATAACCACACTCAGATCTGCCTGCCACCCGCTAGTGGAAACTGGGAATTCACTGGAATTCAGGGAACTGGAGGCAGGTCACATGCATTACACCCTTGATAACGCAATTTATCTGCACAGTTGATATTTTAGAGTTTCATGTATATAGTTCAGTTTCCCTGAAATTAACCTTTAAAAAAAAAAATAAATAAATAAGAGAAAAACCCACAGTCTTTCAGGGGGATCAGAAACCAATTTCAGGAAACACTACCAACTTTGATGGTAAACGCAGCCACTGAGAGTAAGCCACTCTGTGTGTGTGTATTGGACTAGTTTTTTATTGAGTTTCATATAGAAACAGGGGAGGAAAAGTATAAAATGCTACGCAACTTACTGCTGGAACCACATTGCTATATATTGCAGACTTATCAGTGGTGAACTATTTTTAGTACGGCCCATGAGCAAGCAAAAAGTGAGGACGTATTTTTTCCAGTGCTTGAACCAGGCAAACTGCTTTTTCCAGCCCTGACCCCTGGAACCCCCCAGCGCAGGGGTGCCTCGGCATTGCTCCCCTGGCACGGTGCACAGCATCGCCCTGCGCTTCCCCGGTCTGCGGCACAACCGCCAGCAACTGCGTGGGGGAAAACAGGACACTGAGAGAGTAAGGTAAAAAAACCACGAGGAATAAAAAGCCAGAATGAAGGGAAGAAAACAGAGGGAGTTAGGTGGTATCCTTTCAGATAATTCAAAAATCTATAATACAAATGTATCTAGAAGTGAGCTTCAAAAGTGAGCTTCAAATTGTTTTTCATCTCTTCAAAAATAAGCTATTTCTAGCAGTAAAGCTAAGGTCCAGACCCACTGCCCTATTCTGGGTGCAAGTCTGCTTTTCCATTTTGCTAAAAAAATCTACTTGGAGATCTTTGCCCAACTGCCACTAGCAGCATCAAGTCCAATGTGAAGTCACATTTGCATCCTTCCACAGCCATAGCATACCCATCGCATTCCTATTAAAGAACCAGCACATTCTACAGAACAAAATGTTCAACTTGCTCAATAAAGAAAAAAATTCCTGAAAAACACCCTAACATCACAGACATTGTACTATTGTTACTGTGTTTATATACTACTATAACTGGAAATCTTCTGAAGGGCTCTGATGAAGCTCCTGCCAAGCCTTTAGAAAAGAACTCTAAACTCAGAAAATACTTCCTCCTGACCAAAGCATATACTGCAAGTATGGAGTTGGGAAGATTCGGAGCATTTTAATGTACCCAGAGATCCTGGGTCTCTGGCAGGCCTCTGAAGCTAAGCAAACCTCTCAGGATGTGCCAACCCTTGTCTCTAAGTGCTCCACCTTCGCCATGTGTAACTCATGGCACTGTATGAGCATTAGAAAGGGACAGAGTTCTCACTGACTAACTGGAAAATCCATACTCCCTGTCAGTATTTTAACCTCTCCTTATAGACTCTGGGAGAGAGGATGCAAACCTATTTATATGGGAAAGCATTAGTGAGAGCACAGGATTTAAATTCACATTCATGGTTTTTGTTATTTCTTTGGTATTATAATTGTAGGTGCTTAATTGCATCAGTTTGCCTATAAAAGTTCTTGAGGGAAAAAGCCCCAACACTCGACATTCGAAGAATTATATCTGCTTTTTCTTGACAAGTTAGCACACAGCTAATCTGAATTTTTAAGCTGGTGACTACAGAAATCTAATTATGGAACCTCATCTTAGATATATAGTAAAACAGCAATCACCTGAAGGCTGCATTAATTTATGTTGAATGGTGCTGTAATATCAGGAATATACAGATGATTCTGTTTAGAAGTAAACCCGGAAAGTCATGGAAAGTCAGAGACAACTTCTGCTGCGGAAACTGAGAGGTCACTCAGGCCATACTCCAAGTCACGATATGAGACAGAGCCAGAATGGGACAGCTGGAGGAAAGATCTAAAGAGAAGCTCAAATTTAAACTCTGTGCATAAGAATAGCTCCAGCAACCTTACCAAAAGGTTTTCTGTGAGTAAAGTTGTATTAGAATGACTTGTGGTTTGAGGTCATCAGATGTCACTACTCTTACGTTCAATAAGTTTTTGAAGGTCACCTTGGCAAGCTCAATTCAATTTTTGTATGTGACTAAGTCTAACGCTTCCTCTAGACTCATTATCAGACATTTGGCCAGTATTTTGACGTTATTATGAACTGAAATAGATCTGCAATTGAAATATAACATAGCATTTCTTTCCAGTTTAAGATAACTGATGATAGGACTTCTCACAGTGTCAGAGAACAGAGCTGCCCTTAAAAAGTGAGTCATCACAGACGTCAAGCCTCCTATCAAGGACAATTCACAGATGTCTCCAGAACTCCAGAAGGAAATCCTCCAGGCCGGGCACTCTTCCCACTTTCATATTCTCAATTGCATAATTTATTGATAGGGAACATCAAGGCCTGTGTGCTAAGTTACACTAATTTTACATAATGTAATATTTCTTCTTAATTAATCCAAAAGCCTGTGTGGTGAGGTCCGTATCTAATATAGGTCTTTCTAAAATTAGAGAATGCTTCATTAGTATATTTGGATTACGTTTCTGATTTACCACTTTAACAAAAGATGCTAAAAATTCTACATTTAAAGGACTTCTGTCTTGTGTCAAAAATTGCCAGCTTATTCTCATGATTCCTAGAAATTCTGCTGGAGTTGGAATATGGTGAAGCTAATCTATTCTGAATACAGCTTGTTGAGTTCACATCTAAAATTGGCTGAGGTTTGCAATAAATCTGGAGAGGGAGGATGTCTGAAGAAAAAAAATCCAATTCTTTTTCCACAAGAGCAATTATGGTGGTTTTTTTTTTTCCTTTTCTTGGCAAACGAGGAATTAATACTTGTATTCTGAAGTAGACTGTTGAGTCACCTATCAGGACCTATCCTTTCTCCAGGGACAGGGGAGGAACATAAATCTGGCTTATTTCTCAATACTTTGAAAACTGAGAAATTAAAACTCATATTAGCTGTTTCTTACCTAGATCTTTGTAGATGTATGTTACATAAATAGCCAAGGCCATAAGAGGCCTATATAGGAGACCTATATATAGGATAGATAGACCTATAATCAAGATAGATTACAGTAATCACAGTAGGAATATGGAGGTCAGAATATCATGCAGTAGGAAAGCCCACAAAATGTTTTTTCTCAAAGCTAAGTATTAATAGCAATTTGTTCAGATCCAGACTTGATGACTTCAGATATTAAAAATCTAACCGAGTCATCTGAAAGTCTCTCAGTGCGTTGTGAAAGAAATATGATTGTCCACCTGGATCTGGATGAGAAGCTGCAAGATGCTGCTATGCCATCACCTTCTGATTTCTCTATGTGCTACATCTGCCTCCTGTAACAGCGCTGTTCATTTTAAGGACTAGACCACTTTTTTCCTTTTAATTTGTACTACTGAGTCTCTCTACATTCAAGGAAATAGAACTGAATCATTTGACCATGCTAAGAATGAATTTTAATCAGTTTCTGTGGACTAAAAACCAAAGGTAAGGGAACATTTGAGTCATTTGCTCCACCTCACCCCAACTATAAAAATCTCCTCATATGTGGATTATGCTCATGAATGAAATGCATCAGAAACTGATGCCACAACCTTCAAATTACTTCAGCAGAAGCTCAGCATTTGCACGTGGTTTGAATAGACAGA